AAAATTGCTGGTCGTTACATTTTTGCACTGTAATATTTCAAGAAATAAAAGATAGGTTGTAGTAATATTCCCCGAAATCCAAAACGTCTTCATCGAATTATTTAAACATTTACGCCAAGTAGAATTGTTTTCTTGCTAGTTAAAGTTATTGACTGTTAAACTTACCAAAGCATACAGATCAAGCCAAGTGTATATCGACTATTCAAATAACAGCAAATTGCAGGAATGATTTTCCTTGCTTTCTTTAGTACGCAGTTTCGTTTTCAACATGCGGCAGCTGCATGGGTCATGTATCATATATAATATATAAACAAAGCTAAGGTTTTGTAACGGTGGTAACCACGGGTAACAAAACTGATGGGATTTCCCTTCTCGACTCGCATTCAATCTTCTGCATAATCGATTCAATGAATTCGGGACACACTTGCAAGAGTGTCAAGTTAGAAGCGCTTGAGTACGAGGCTTATTGGTGTTATATTATTTGTTGCTCATTAGCAACCGCTTCCCTAGGCTTATACCCTTAGTGCTACGTAAACAAAGTAAAACCAACAACACAGGTGCATGCATGGGCCTTAGCTTTTGTCCGAGAGTGATCACGGTTCTCAGTTCATTCATTTTTAGTTTTGATTATACATGCATCGAGAAGTACAGCCAGTTAAATTGTTTTTAAAACAATTATAGAAACTTATATTGTCTTCCGAAGCATGTATTTATGGTTTGTGATGTGAACTGGAATACCAATTATATATCATCAATAGGACAAAAATGCCTAAATTTGAGACGGAGTGTTCTAATGTGATTTAGTGTTTTAGTCGGAGGTGCTGTCCGAACAAGGTTTGACCGAAGACAGCAACGACAATCCTTTTTGCTCATTTTCTCTGCAAATATATAAAACTAGAATGAATATCATGCGTATATATTAGTTCTCAGTTCTCGGCGTAACAACACAGGAGGCGTAGGTATAGAAGGACATTCATATATTCGTTTCGTCCTTCCGGCTTTGCTGATCTCTTTTAAAATCGATTGCTTTTGCCCGTAAATAGACATGAATTTACCGACTTGAACCCAATTCTAGCAGCGTTACTGGATTCACTCTTTTAAGAATTGTTGAAATTTCGCGATTTTCGTGGACATAAACTCTAATTTATTTGGAAATATAACCAGGGATAGCGTGGCAGCGTTACTATATAGTAACTCTCCTGACGAAGGCCCTCAGATCGAAACGTCGAGAAGTGTTTTGTTTATTTTAGGCATGCAGTTGTTGTTAATATATCAAACCAATAGACTTGCAAGAAGCCTGTTTTGAGTTACGCCATAACGAGGCTAGTCAGATTTTCTCTGCTGAATTTACCGAAGTCATTTGTTTATTTTCTCACTTTTTTGCTGGACCTATTGCAAGCTACGCACAAAAATGATTTTGAAATTTTGACAGCAGAAAACCTGACTAGGCTCGTTCAGGACTCGTAACAGGCCTCTTTCTCTTTTTGGAATATACGTTTTATTTTGTAATATGTTAAGAACTGCAAGTATAGCATTTCAAAATGTAAATAAAGCATTTGTGTACATTACAGCTGGGAATCCTTTAAACTTTGCTATCTTCTGACAAAGTAAAGTGCTTCCAAGATATGGATTCAATCGGTCTCCATGTCATGAATTAAGTAAGTCAACTATTGAGTTTACACTTGTGGCATTTCCGTGAACGAGTCACGAATGCACTTGCTACAGTACTGAAGCGTCCACTTGAAGATTTTTAAATTATTATTTATAAACAACGGAAAGTTTATGACTTTATTACAACAGACCAAAACATTGATTTTCACTCTAAGACACTGAGATATCTTGAAAGAGCCGATCATAGATAATATGTGCATTATGCAATGACATGCACTTTTGTTAAAGTGTATAATCCGACCACCAAATATGGCACAACCAACATTACATAATAGTGTTCATATATAACTGACAACCGCCGGTTTATTTTGTCTTCCGCATACTACCTCTATTGCATTTCCCGATATATAAGGCAGGTAAGTTCACTTATTACCATTTAACATTTCCCGACGTACATTAACTTTAAAAGTCACAACCGTTCAGTTTTGAATGAGAACGTACAATATTGTTGCTATATTAAAAATGCCTCGTTCTGCAATGTCAGGAAGACACAGTTTAAAACCAATTCAGCTTCTGTTCTGATCCTGACGTTGTGGGGTAAGGAGCGACTTAAAATTTGACTTTTGTGTAAGGAAGACAAGTATAACCAGTATCCAAGGAATTTCGCTAAAAACGTAGTACGTGAAACGAGATTAGATTGTGTAACAAATATGCTTTTACGCGCTTTGACATTGTATTTATTATTGAGCCAATGAGAAACATGATATAGAAGTCATAATTTGAAGCTAACGGCAAACCAAACTGCATCGAGCCAAAACCATGTCCAAGTGTGTGTTTGAGCATGCAAGGTTTTAAAAATATATAACATACTAACAACCCCTTCGTATTTAATATCAAATAAATTTTGTATATTACGGTGCAAGCTATGTATTAATGGTTGTATTATTATATTCGGTTTAATTTCAATTATATCGATCTTCAATTTTAGGTTAGTTCGGTTTCCGCCGGATAGCTTGAGTTGACATTTTACAGCTTTAAATGCACGTTTAACGAATCACATTAGTAATTATTGTATAGGCTATAGCTGAGGATAGACTACCATGCAGTTGACGAACTTTTGTGTCGGCCGCAAGGTGATATGTCTTCCGTTAAAAGTTTGAAATTTTCCGCTTTAAAAGAGAACGTGATGAATTCGTGAATACGTGAGAGCGTAATCACCAATTATCTATCCGTTTCAGAAAAATTTTATGAGAAACATTTCGTCGAGAAACATTCAACGGTACGAGGAGAAGAAAACTTGTCAAAAGGAAACTAGTCCTAAATATAGAAACTAAATTAATTTACACATAGGAGACATTTAGATATTGAGTTCCGACATGAAGATCGACATGCTACCTTCTTTTTTATTAACGAACTGAATTAAAGACTCCGCTGCAATGTTTGACTAATTCACACTCACTATAACTCACATTCATTTCTATTTTTGTAGTTTTGTTTGCTGGGATCAAGTTATGAAAAAGAAACTGCTTGCTGTCGTAGGGCTGGTCTTGTATCTATTTGACTTAGCCTCAGATATTTACGTGGCGTATAAATATTGGGAAGATGATCACCCTTGGTGGTTTAGAATGACGATATTTTGTATCGTTGTTCCTTCAATTGTGGTAAACGTAATATCCGTTGCACAGCTGATGAACGTATGGTCATTTCTGGCAAGTGTTCTACAATTATCTATTGTTGTTCGATACGTCGAGAACATTTTCGGTTTGGATCGCAATCCCCTCGCGTTCGCAAAGTTGCGGTATGTGGAAACGATCACAGAGTCCGCTCCACAGTGGTGTCTTCAAGCATACGTCATGTTACGTCAATGGTATTTCCCGTGGTACACTCTGCTCTCGATTATACTGTCAGTCTTGTCCTTGTCCTGGAGTATAACTGGAGTCGAGATCGCAAGACGTGAAAACACAGAATGGAATTGCCGAAATGTAACTGAAAAAGTATCGTTTTTTCTTTGGCAAATGTTCACGCTCGTCTCAAGATTATCTGCAATTGTATTGTTCGGTTTTGCCTTCCGATACTACGTGATTCTTCTCCTTTGCTTTCACTGGGCGCTTCAAACCGTCCTGATGTATTTCCTCGTACAAGGCAGGACTGTGTCTACAGGATCTAATGACACAGCAAAAATCATTATTTCATCCATCTTGTTCAGTTTTCCCTCTATCTTCCACTCCCCGGCAAGTTTCTCGCCAAAACAAATTTGCAAAGCTGATATGATCTTGGGCTATCTTTTAATCACCGCGGAAAACGTCGGCATGGTGGCATTGTGCTTTACGTTTGGAATCGGGATTATATCAAAAGAACAAAGTGAAACACCAAACTCAGACGCACTTTTGAAACCTCTTCCTACGAGCGTACCGCAGATAGACATATTGGAACCATTTGCTATCCCATTCCTCGCTGTCACGTCATTCTTGTCGTTCATCTTCATCGTTATCTATTACAAGCTTACAGATTTCGACAACGAAGTTGATTAGCTGCTCCGATTAGTACTTGATTAGTCGTCCCTACCTCGATTTATAATAGAAAGAATAGGAGTGCAATAAATGCTAAAATCATACGAGTGATCGCAATATCAACTGACCGTGTTGCGGGATTAGTTAACCACGAGTATGGTCTTAATTAGCATTAATTGCACGACTTAATTCGTTCTATTACTTGTATTAGATGCAATTTATTGAAATTTATTTTATTGAATTGATATAATTTATAATTTTTCATCACAACAATAGTACGTGCATGGTAGTACAACAAGTAGTACAAGGCTGTTGAATGTTCGGAAAATCACGAAGGCATTTTCTCTTCATTGAGTTGACCTTCGTAATTTTCCAAACTTTCAACAGCCAATCAGAAATTTGCCGACGATTTTTCCGATGATGACGTTTGTCGAGTAAATCGCATCCCGCCTCTGTTTAACAAAATTTCGAAAAAAAAGCACTTTTTATTTGCAAAGTTTAAGCATTTTTAAGTCCTTTTCAAGTCTAAAACTGACAGATAAATTTAGTAAATATATCTTATTGTGTGTATCTCGTGTTTTATACCTATTTTTTTTTCAAGAAACTAACGTAATTTTTGTGTTTCAAGCGATGGTATAAATGTTTGCATTATATTTTTTGTCAGAGAGTTGCCAGCCTTAGGATAATTATGTACATACATGCATAAGATAGTATACGATGCCCGCATTGAGCGGGCTGCATATGGTTTCAATGAGCGTTCCGCGTGGGTTGCTCTCCATGGAAACAGGTTAGTGCGTGACACCAAATCTGTGAAATACAGGGATTACAGGCTTATAGCCATGATACGTATAGTATTTCATTCATTGCGCTATTGACTATTGTTGTTAAAAGCGAAAGTGATGCATAAAGCTTAAAAATCCTGGCACACTAATGTACGTTGGTCTTCTCGGTTAACAGAACAGAAGCTGTTGTATTCTAGGTAAGTCCAACTGTTCAATATTTCCAATGCATAGACTATAGTGTTTTATACGTTACCATGTAATGTTAGAGACTTAAGGAATTAAGTTTGAAAATATAAATTCGTTGGACTCGTGTTTGCAAATCAAGAAACGTCGACGCAGTGAGAAACACTTGCTGGCATGTCTGGATGTATGTGTAGTAAACCTTCGTATTTAGGACTGAAACCGTTTGTAAATGTTCGATTATAAAACAGTTGACCGCGATATATTGAATGTTGAATTTTCTTTGTCTGCTCGTAATTGCCGCAATAGCATCAAAATGTCCGAGCTCTTTGACCCTGAAGGACATGCATGAGATATATGAACGCATCAGTATTAACCGCTCTAGTCTTATGAGCTAAAACCCTTTGTTTCACTCGATCGGGGAACTTGAGAGGGTTGAAATTGTACAGTTTATTCGCGCACTTATTGAACTAACTTCTGCGGCATCTGTTTGCTAAGCGTATATTATTTATTATATTTTGAAATTATTAATGTGGTATAGTATATTGTTTCAAATAATACTTATAATAGGACAAATGACTCTGTCCGCGTGTTATACTTTCCTAGAATATTTTTAGCAAATTCTTTGCAAAACTTCGAATACAGAAATTTTCCGTTTGAAAATTTCATCCGTGTTCACAGAAACTTTGAAGTGTAAATTGGGCCTTAGTTTACATGTCGATTGTTTCTATTCTTACAAGAATAATTTATTTTTATTCCTAAGTCTATAAAAGCATAATCTTTTACTTTTAAAGTGACTTTTATTTTTAAGAGTGGCTGCATGGCTTAAGGCCCACACAGACAGGACGCGAATTGGCAACGCGGCGCGAATTTTCAAGGTTTTTAATTTTTCAAAATCAAATAAATTTTGAACTATCATTACATTGTTGTAGATTACTTAACGATAATACATTTTGACTGCTCTGGCGTCCATAGATTCCAAATTTTGCTTTCAGAATTTAATGTGCTCCTAAAAACTCAAAATTCGCGTCGCGTTGCCGCATCGCGTCCGGTCTGTGTCGGCCTTTATAGCTAATCGCTAAACCTAGCTAAACCAATAGCGAGGTTCAGATTTGTATTCCACTATATACTATTAAGTCTCGCTAGTCTATTGAGTCCATTACTGGTTAATCTAATAGACTTTATAGCATTTGATTGGCTCATGTTCCCTCAATAGTTGTGGTAGTGGTAGTTAAATCTGAACCTCGCAAATATCTTAAGGAAGACGACAAAAATATGCGGACGGATATCAATACACTGATTCTCTAAAAAGAAAAACATAATTGAAAATAAAAACCTCTGGAAGTATACTAGACGACTAAGACGAGTATACACGTTAATTACAGCCGCTGAGTGGCCCTTGCAGTAGTCCATGATTTATTCTGTGGTGTCTAAGTATGAAATATGCATATTTTTTAGCGGTTTTGTACTTGGATCGAATTATGAAAAGAAGACTACTTGCGATCGTTGGGCTGCTCTTGTATCTTTTCGACTTCGCATCAGATTTCTACGTGGCTTATAGATATTGGGAAAATGGGGATACTTGGTGGTTCGGAATGACGATTACCTTTATCGGTGTTCCTTCAATTATAGTAAATATAACATCGGTGGTACAACTTATGGATCCATGCTTATGTTTGGCCAGCATTCTACAATTGTCTTTGGTGATTCGATACATCAAAAAAATATATGACGATCGCAATCCCTATTCATTTGCAAAGTTGCGGTATGTGGAGACAATTTTGGAGTCCGCTCCACAGTGGTGCCTTCAGACGTACGTCATGTTACGTAAGTGGCATTTCCCATGGCACTCCGTGATCTCGATTGTACTGTCATTCCTGTCCTTAGCGTGGAGTATTACAGAACTCGAGATTGCAAGATACGAGGACGATCCACTAGGTGGTCTCAAATTAAAGGAGAAAGCCTCGTTTCTGGTTTGGCAATTTTTTACGCTTCTATCAAGATTATATGCCATCGTATTTTTCGCTTACGTGTTCAGATATTACGTGATTCTCGTCCTTCCAATTCACTGGTTGCCCCTGGTTTTGATGATAGTAATCGTGAAAAGAAATGAAATCTTTGCAGAGGGAAATAGTAAAGCAAAAGCCTTAGTCGTGTCATTTCTGGCGAGTTTCCCTTCTCTCTTTCATTCTCCGGGGAGCTTCGCGCCAAAAGAAATTCGCAAAGCTAATATGATCTTGGGGCACATATTCATCGTTATTGGAAACATCGTCATGGTGGTATTGTGTCTGACAGAGGGTATACCAAAAGTGTCCCCGTCGAAAAGCGTGGAACCCATCCCTGAGACCGTACCACACATGGACGTATTGAAACCAATTGCCATTGCATTCCTTTCTGTGGGATCATTCGTGTCGTCCATCTTCATAGTTATTTATTACACACTTAATCACAGACTTCGATAGCACGTTTGGTTTGATTAGGTTTAACTGAATAAGCAGTGATTACAATGATCAAAATATTTGAACAGTTACTATATATCTATCAGGGGCCGCTTGTATAAAAACGTAGTTAACTTTTAACTATAGTTAGTGACAGAGTGACCAATCATGCAGAGTCGTTTATTTCTGAGTTAACTACAATTTAACTACCCAAAATGTAGTTAGCCTAAGAGGTTTATACAACCGCCCCCGGAGTACGAAAAATTGATACTGCATGAGACAAACATAGATTATATGTTACTAAATTACGAAGAAATTATGAAATAAATAGTTTTGATGCATAAAATTTTGTTGCTCGCAGTATTTTTGTACTTGAAGCATTTCATTCTCGAATTACTTTGCATATATGCATATGAAATAAATTACTTTATAATGGTTGGCTCGTTTGTACGATTTCAGTCGTATTTGCGCACAACGTGTATAAATGAAAAACACCATAGCTGAGACGTACCAGTGCATAAGACTAATCAGAGACTAGATACAAGAAAGTGTGAAAATATTTTCCTAGCCTCAACTCGTTTTTCAAATAAATAAAACGGCGTGTAGTGTATAATGCACTGAGTTGAATGTGACACACATTTGGCACGCAATGTATGGCAATACAATCTCGATCACCCATGTACTCCTTTTTGTGCACGTATTTTAGGTAAGTCTTAAAGTAAATGCATCTTCGAATGACTGTTTGCAAAGTAGACTAGCATAGTATATCTTCCTCGTTCATAATATAATATAGGCTATAGCGCATTCAGTTGAGACACATGAGATTGCATGGGTCGAGTTCGCTTTGCCTTCAAGCCAATGTGCGTTTCGCGAATTCGCGTGGGTTACTCACCATGGAAACAGATTAGTGCCACCAAATCTGTGAAACGCAGGGTAAGGAAATTTCCTTAGAAAAGTTTGACCCTGTCGACGGGAGGGTCCTCCCGTCCATATTCGTTTCAAATGTTCTTTGTTTCATGTTATTCAAAACAACCTCTCCCACAGTAAAAAGTATGCATATTTTGTGAGAGCACACGGTGTCTCATTCCTTGCGTTATTGACTATTGCTGTTGAAAGCGAAAGTGCTCTATAAAGTTTTATAATCCTGGCATACTAATGTACGTTGGTCTTTTCTGTTGAACAGAAGCTGTTGTATTCTAGGTAGGCCTAAGTCAAACTGTTTAATATTTCCAATGCATATAGGCTCATAGACTATAGTGTAATACATGTCTCGTCCGTTACATACATTTAATATCAGGGACTTAAATAATTATAAGTTTGAAAATATAACTTCGTTGGACTCGTGTTTGCAAATCAAGAAACGTCGACGCAGTCAAGAAATACTAGCTGGCATGTCTGGATGTATGTAGTACCGTTTGTAAAATGTACAAGTAGTACCGTTCTAGTCTTATATTCAGCGAAGTTAAGCTGTAGCTATCATTTTATGAGGGAAACCACTTTGTTTCATTCGGGAAACTTAGAGGGTTAAAACTGCATGTAAAGTTTCTGCGTGCACTTAGGTATTGGTTTAACTTCCGGCATCTGCTAAGGGTATATTATTAACTATATTTTGAAATTATTAATGTGGTACATAGCGTGAACGCGAAATGATCGATGCGTTTTCGGTCTTGCGAAACCGCATACAAACGAAAACGCACTAGTGTAGACAGGCCCTAAGTATGAGATATGTATATTTTTTAGCGGTTTTGTACTTGGATCGAGTTATGAAAAGGAGACTGCTTGCAATCGTTGGGCTGCTCTTGTATCTTTTCGACATCGCAACAGATTTCTACGTGGCTTATAAATATTGGGAAAATGGAGATACTTGGTGGTTCGGAATGACGGTTACCTTTATCGGTGTTCATTCAATTATAGTAAATATAACATCGTTGGTACAACATAGGAATCTATGGTCATGTTTTGCCAGCGTTCTACAATTGTCTTTGGTGATTCGATACATCGAAAAAATATATAAAAAGGATAACAATCCCTATTCATTCGCAAAGTTGCGGCATGTGGAGACAATTTTCGAGTCCGCTCCTCAGTGGTGCCTTCAGACGTACGTCATGTTACGTAAGTGGCATTTCCCATGGCACATCGTGATCTCGATTGTACTGTCATTCCTGTCCTTAGCGTGGAGTATTACAGAACTGGAGATTGCAGCAAGATACGAGGACGATCAGCAAGTCGGTCTCAATTTAAAGGAGAAAGTCTCTTTTCTGGTTTGGCAATTATTTACGCTTCTGTCACGATTATATGCCATCGTATTTTTCGCTTACGTGTTCAGATATTACGTGATTCTCGTCCTTCCAATTCACTGGTTGCCGTTTATTTTGATGATAGTAATCGTGAAAAGAAATGAAATCTTTGACGACAGAAATGGGAAAGCCGTAGCCGAATCATTTCTGATGAGTTTTTCTTCTCTCTTTCATTCTCCGGGGAGTTTCGCGCTAATTGACAAAGATATTCGCAAAGCTAATATGATCTTGGGGCACATATTCATCGTTATTGGAAACATCGTCATGGTGGTTTTGTGTCTAACAGAGGGTATACCAAAAGTGTCCCCTCGAAAAGCGTGGAACCGGAGACAGTACCACACATGGACGTATTGAAACCAATTGCCATTGCATTCCTTTCTGTGGGATCATTCGTGTCGTCCATCTTCATAGTTATTTATTGCAAACTTACAAACCGGTTTGATTCGGTTTAAACTATAACAGTGATTACAATAATCGAAATATTTCAACAGTTATGCATACATCTATCTGAGTACGAAAGACTGATACTGGGATAAACAAAGACTTTATCTTAATGGAGTTTAGTATTGAATTTGCAAAACACAGGATGAGAAACACGAGTTACTTCATCGAATTTTATTTACTACAGAACTGTTTCTTATTACAAGCGTTAAGCTTGCCACGCTCATCAGGTAAATAATATTATTACAACAACAAAACGACTATATACAAGAGACGCATAATTAATTAGGTCTTGCTACATGTTATGTTCTGGTTACAGTGCATGTTACTTAATGTTACTTAATGTTCGATGCCGACATGTGGAAACAAGTTCATTACGCTTGTTCAAAGAGCTTAATTCAGGATGACATATGATAATAGATTTTTCGATATATAAATATATATGAACAAATTTATACAATGTTTGCATGATTTGAACGTGACACACATTTGGCGCGCAATGTATGCCAATACAAATCTTGATCATCCATGTCTGCGCAATTACCTTAAAAGTCAATAGATGCCATCCAGCTCTGTTAAAGCGCTGTTCAAGCATTGCGTCATCTTCACTGTTATCTTATATATGTTCCACTAACTTCCGTTCAAGCCGTGTTCCAGCGCTATAACAGTGGTACGTCATGAATACTGCATGAGTAATCAAATATAGCACCGCATCACGGCTGCGACTATACAAATCAGTTTATCGCTCTCGTCCTCTATAAATCGGAAAATCTGTCAGGTGTTGGTTTTTCTGCACGTATTTTAGGTAAGTCATGAGTTTAAGGTAAATCAACTTTTTAAATGGGCATTTGCAGTGTAGAGGCTAGCATTACAGTTGAAACACATGTGACTGCCTGATATAAACGCAAATCAAGAAATGTCGTACGGTTGAGGAATAATTGCATATACGCATGTCCGCGCGTGCATGAAGTATGCCTAGTACACCTAAAAATAATGAGAGGAAATATGAAATATCTGGGAAGCCCTTTTTAAATGCTAACTTAGAACATCTGCGCTATGTCTCGCGGCTGTGGAATATCTTCAATTTTCTGTCTTTGAAGTTTTGCTCTCTGCAAATTACAAATCATAATTTCATTTCGACCCTACGATATTCAAGCATCAACCGAACCGCCCTAGTTTTTTATGCAGCGGAACTATCGCGAATTAGCTGATCCTTAATTTTCGAGGAAATATTGAAGCTGTAATCCGAGTGCAATAGGATATCCGGGAAGTAACTCGCGGCAATTGCTGCGCGTATATTTTGCACTGATCAGACCTGCATAAGGAGTATTGTTGTACTGTATGAAATTTAACCTTGACTGTAAGAATTCAGTCTCGCCAAATTAAACTTTAACGAAATAAGACAGCCTAGCCTGGCTGACGTACTTTTCAGTCAAGCATTATTAAGTCTCGCAAACAAGGCAGTAACTGGCACAATCAACTGTTTAATTTGAACAAATTTACGAAGAATTTGTTAATAAATTGTTTAATTTTGATGCATGAAATTTTGATTTTTGTTGATCGCTGGATTTAAAAGTATGTCATTGATTGTGACATCGCTGATCGCTTTCTGTAGAAATGATTTATATAATTTCAAATGTGACGCATTTGGGGCGCAATGTATGAATGGTAATACGTCTGATAGACAATATCTGCATAATTAAACATTTGTAAAGTGCTGTTCAAGGAGTGTACAAGAATGGTAACATCTTTACTGCTGTTCAACTACCGTTTAAGTCGTGTTCCAGCGCTCTCGCAGTGAACGTCATCAATAGTAATCTACTGAATAGTTATAGTTTATCGTTCTCGTCTCTCCAAAGGTTGGGAAAGCTGTAAAATTTTAACTGAAGATTTTAACTGCACGTATTTTAGGTAAGTCCAACTTTTTCAATGAATTTTGCGGTGTAGTTTAGCATAATATGCCTCTCATTAATAGCATATTATATAGCACATACAGATGAGACACGTCGGAGACTGTGATAGGAAAACGTTTCCCTCGATTCGTGTTTTTAAATCAAGGAAAATTGTGCGATGATGACTAGTTTCACGCATGTCTGTCTGCGTTTGGTACCCGAAAAGGCAGAAAAATTGAATATTTCGCCAAACGTGTGTAAATCCTCGATTAGAACATCTGCACTATATTTCGGGACTGCGGGAATGTCCTCAGTTTTCTGTCTGCAGTTTTGCTTTCTGCAATTTCATGTAATAATTTCACTATCCAAATGTCAGTATACTTTTTGACCGCTGCAACATGCATGCATTCACCGCCCTAGTTTTTTATTTAGCGGAACTATCTTGTAAGGAAACCTTTTTTTATTCGAGGAAATAATCGGGTGTAATCTGTTTTGAACAATGTAATATGATCTCCGGGAACAAACTTAGGGCAATTGCTCTAGGTATTGAGTTTTAATTGAGGCAGCCTGGCTCAAGTACACTTCAGTCCAACGCTATTTGGACGGGAATGGAAACAAACTATAAGGAATTTAACAATAGCTACAAAATCCTTCACAGATTTTTACTAATTATCTTTACTAATTATCTTATATAACATATTATG